CCCCAACCCGGTGATCTGACAACACAGAATTCTCTCATGTTCCCTCATCAAATAACCTTGAAATCATAAAGCTAAAGGAATGATTAGCCTTATCCACATTATTTCTTTTGCAACAAATATCTTGATTTCAAGTTACTCCTTGTCCCTTTTCTCCCTTCCTCCTCTAGTTCATCCAATGTACTCTTTGAAATGGCGTATTTATCAGTTAAAATTCCTCCCAGAGGTGTCATGTGCTTTGGGGCTCTAGGTATGTTTTGGCTATCAACTAATAGCCCATATCAGTTCTTAATTTTTGGTTTCAATCCATTTTGGGGGAGAAAATAATTTCCTATAGCCAATGTGTACCTTGTAGTTACCCCTGTTACCACTAGATGGAAGTACATCACTGACCAAGCTGGACTACTGGGAAAGGTGACGTAAATCAGTAGCTTGAGCTACAGAGTAAGTTACTTAGAGAGTATAAAGATAAAATTCAAGATAGAATACTGAACTACCATATGACCCAGCAATCTCAATCCTAGGTATACACCCAGAAGGCAAAGCAGGAACGCGAACAGAAACCTGTACACCAATGTTCACTGCAGCACTTTTCACAATAGTGAAAAGGTGGAAACAACCGACATATCCATCAAAAGATGAATGCATAAGCAAAATGTGGTCTATACATTCAATGGAATATCACTCATTCATAAAGAGAAATGAAGTCCTAATGCACACCACAACATGGATGAACTTTGAAAACATCATGCTAAATGAAGCAAGTCAGTTGCAAAAAGACAGATATTGTATGATCTCACTTATATGAAACAAGCAAATATATAGAAATCAAAGATTATTATCAGTGGGGTTGGGGGGAGGAAAAGGGGAGTTTTTGTTTGGGGAGCATTGAACATGAAGCATATCATCAATGTCAATGAAATATTCATGTAGAACTTGCTGAATGAAGGAATGCTTTGTTGTGTTTATTTTCACCACATACACACAAAAAAACAAAAACTAAAAAAAATTCAAGACGGGTGAAAAGCATTCCTATCAGCATATTTGTTAATTTTAGAAATACAAGCAACTAACAAGAGATTGAGTGTTCATAGTAAGAGAGATATACTGTGTGCATATCTTCATTTGAAACCACTGGACACTGAGCTTCACTGGCTTCCTCCCTGAGTAAATTATTTTGGTGGTGGTTCAGAGGGCAATCAGAAGGTAAATTCCTCAAAGGTAAGAAGAATGCCTTACCTTTCTATCCCAACATCCAGTACAGGACACGGTGCATAATGACCACTCATCCAATGTTTTGCTATATGAAAGCATTTGGATTAAGGATGAATAATTGCTTTTAACTATGCCTACAAATATTCAGATACAAATTCAACACAGAGCCAATTAACCAAAGAATTAGTGCGTCCAAGCTATTCAACATTAACCACATGGTGAATTAAGAATTGGTATATAGAACAACTAGAAAAAGAACCAAGGAAGAATATCAGGAAATGTGACAGCCAAGGACTTACTGGCTCCGCTTCTAAAGCATTATTAGCATAGGGAAAAAGAGGGAAGAGCATCAACCTTCCTTTTTATTTTATCCTGGCCCTAATCAACCCTATTACTGAAGATCCATTGTAGGGTCTGGGGTTTGTGGGAATGGAGACATTTCAATTGACTGTAGTGGAAAAGAGAATTTTCCAGAGTCCTGAATATAGGAATTACGTATATATTAAAATGAGATCAAATTAATTGCCTGATTGCTTTAGTACTAAAGTTACAATTATCTGATTGTATTATTTTAATTCAATTTGTACAAATACTATTTTTCTTTTTCACTTTCTACCTATTCCATTTCTTTTAGTCAAACCTACATTCCAAATAAATTCTGCCCACCTGATTGTTCTTTTAAACTTTCTATTATTCTCTGAATAACTGGAACTAATCACTATTAAACAAAGTGTCAGATTTTCCTCTTTTCAAATGTTTACATAAAAATCTTAAGAACTGGAATCAGACAAGGATGCCCTTATTCAACATTGTGCTGGAGGTCCTAGCCAGAGCAATAAGACAAAAAAAGAGATAAAGCGCATCCAAATTGGTAAGGAAGAAGTAGAAGTATCCCTATTTGCAGATGATATGATCTTATACACAGAAAACCCTGAAGAATCCACAAGAAAACTACTGGAACTAACAGACGATTTCAGCAATTTCAGCTGAATTTCAACAATTTCAGTTATCAGGATACAAGATAAACATACAAAAATCAGTGGATTCCTCTACAGCAACAAAGACAAATTCGAAAAGGAAATCATCAAATCAACACCATTTACAGTAGCCCCCAAGAAGATAAAATACTTAGGAATAAATCTAACCAGAGATGTAAAGGACCTACACAAAGAAAACTACAAGACATTACTGCAAGAAAACAAAAGAAACCTACTTAAGTGGAAAAACATACCTTGCTCATGGATAGGAAGACTCAACAGCATGAAAATGTCAATTCTATCCAAAGTGATCTACAGATACAATGCAATCCCGATCCAAATTCCACCAGCATTTTTTAACGAGGTGGAGAAACAAATCACCAACTTCATATGGAAAGGGAAGAGGCCCCTAATAAGTAAAGCATTACTCAAGAAGAAGAACAAGGTGGGAGGCCTCACACTACCTGATTTTAGAACCTATTATACCACCACTGTAGTCAAAACAGCCTAGTACTGGTACAGCAACATATACATAGACCAATGGAACAGAATTGAGAATCCAGACATAAATTCATCCACCTATGAGCAGCTGATATTTGACAAAGCCCAAAGTCCGTTAATTGGGGAAAAGACAGTCTCTTTAACAAATGGTGCTGGCATAACTGGATATCCATCTGGAAAAAACTGAAACAAGGCCCATACCTCACACCATGTACAAAAACTAACTCAAAATGGATCAAAGACCTAAATATAAAATCTAAAACAATGAAGGTCCTGGAAGAAAAAATAGGGACAATGCTAGGAGACCTAATACATGGCATAAACAGAATACAAACCATAACTAACAATGCACAAACACCAGAAGAGAAAACTACATAACTGGGAGCTCCTAAAAATCAAATACTTACGCTCATCAAAAGACTTTATTTATCAAGAGTAAAAAGAGAACTTACAGACTGGGAAAAATTTTTGGTTACTACATATCCAGTAAGGGTCTAATCTCTGAAATCTATAAGATACTGCAACACCTCAACAACAAAAAGACAAATAACCCAAATGAAAAATGGCCAAAGGATTTGAAAAGACACTTCACCAAAGAAGACATTCAAGTGGCTAACAGACACATGAGGAGATGCTCACAATCATTAACCACTAGAGAAATGCAAATCAAAATGACATTGAGATACCATCTCACCTCAACAAGGCTGGTACTAATCCAAAAAACACAAAATAATAAATGCTGGAGAGGTTGTGGAGAGACTGGAACACTTATGCACTACTGGTGGGAATGTAAAATGGTACAATCACTTTGGAAATCGATTTGGCACTTCCTTAAAAAGCTAGAAATAGCTTGGAATATATCCTAGAGAAATAAGAGCCATCACATGAATAGATACATGCACACCCATGTTCACTGCAGCACTGTTCACAATAGCAAAAAGATGGAAACAACCTAGGTGCCCATTAATAGACGAATGGATAAACAAATTATGGTATATTCACACAATGGAATACTACGCAATGATAAAGAACAATGATGAATCTGTGAAACATCTCATGACATGGATGAATCTAGAAGGCACGATGCTGAGTGAAATTAGTCACAAAAGGACAAATATTGTATAAGACCGCTACTACAGAACTCAGGAAAAGGTTGAAACACAGGAGAAAACATTCTTTGACGGTTACGAGGGTGGGAAGGGAGGAAGAGGGGTATTCACTAGCTAGATAGTAGACAAGAATTATTTTAGGTGAAGGGAAGGACAACACACAATACAGGGGAAGTCAGCACAACTGGATCAAAGCAAAAGCTAAGACGTTTCCTGAGCACAACCAAACACTCTGAGGGACAGAGCAGCAGGGGCTGGGATCTGGGGACCATGGTTTTGGGGGACATCTAGGTCAACTGGCATAACAAAGTTTATTTAGAAAATGTTCTGCATCCCACTTTGGTGAGTGGCGTCTGGGGTCTTAAAAGCTTACGAGCAGCCATCTGAGATGCATCAATTGGTCCCAACCCACCTGGAGCAAAGGAGAATGAAGAATATCAAAGACACAAGGAAAATATTAGCACAAGAGACAAAAGGGCAACATAAACCACAGACTCCATCAGCCTGAGACCAGAAGAACTAGATGGTGCCCAGCTACCACCAATGACTTCCCTGACAGGGAACACAACAGAAAGTTCCTGAAGGAGCAAGAGAAAACTGTGGAGCAGAACTCAAATTCACGTAAAAAGACCAGACTTAATGGTCTGACTGAGGCTGGAGGAACCCTCGAAGCCATGGCCCCCAGATGCTCTGTTAATTAATCCAGAACTAAAACCATTCCCGAAGCCCACTCTTCAGACAAAGATTAGACTGGACTATAAAACATAAAATAACACTCGTGAAGAGTGTGCTTCTCAGCTGAAGCAGATACATGAGACCAAATGGACAGCGCCTGTCCAGAGGCAGGATGAGAAGGCAGGAAGGGACAGGAGCTGGTTGGATGGACATGGGAAACCCAGAGTGGAAAGGGGGAGTGTGCTGTCCCATTATAAGGACTGCAACTAGTGTCACATAACAATATGTGTATAAATTTTTATATGAGAAATTAACTTGAGCTGTAAACTTTCACCTAAAGCACAATTAAAAAAAAAGAAAAAATTGTATGTAAAAGAAAAAATTGTATGTAAAAAAAAAAATCTTAAAGTAGAAATCATACAATAAAAATCTATACGCACAGACACAGAAATGAAGACTTGTTTAAAAAAATGTATCAACATTAATACCCTAAGAGTAACAAATCTGTTCAGGAATATACACATACCTTTTGACATAAATTCAGTGACAATGTAAATTGGCTCTTCGGAAACAACAGCATATAGTGGCACAAGCTTATCATGTCTTAATTTTTTCATGATCTGAGCCTCCTGAAGAAAAGCTTCTGGCATCATTGTACCTGGTTTTAGTGTTTTGATTGCTACTTTTGTGGTTCCATTCCATGTCCCTAAAGAAACAACAAATTTTATTACTTAATCTTCATTTTAGGGGATTTCTGACCAAACTTCAATGAACACCTGTTACCTTATTTAAACATATTTTATCAAAAATTGTGGCATATTACTCTACGGCTGAATAACAAAAAATGAAGTTTCAGGCTTCTTACCCATCCATACTTCACCAAAACATCCTTGTCCTAATTTAACCTCTAGTCGCAAAGATTCTCGAGGGATTTCCCAAGCATCTTTAGCTAGACCTTGAGTCTGGGGTTTCACAGTTGGACACACAGTTGTTAACTTATGGCATAAACCATCAGCATGTTCTAGATAAATGAATAAACCACATTTTCAAATTACTTACAAAAATTAAGGAACATATCAATGTTTTAAAAAGTTTAAATTGTAGCAAATAAAAACAAAAAACATAATGTACTATCAGTTTTACTTTAAAGGCACAGACACAGAAAGGATGTTGTATATAAGAAGCAAAACATACGAAGTGTAGGTAAGAAGTAAAATTTGTTAAATGCATTTTTAAAGTTACTATTTACTGAATACTTATGTTCCAGTTATTGTGCCAATTCAGCACTTTACAAATATCCCAGGCACATGAGGCTTAGAAAACTTAAGCAACTTTCCTGAGGTCGCACACAGCTAGTATGTGATGGAGCTGATTCTCAGACCCAGGTCTGTCTACCTCTAAAGTTATGCTTTTGACCACTGTGCTTTATTTCTTCCCAAAGAGAATGCTACCATCATTGTGATTTCTAATAACCGCTGATGTTTAAGAGGTATACCAAAAATCAAGAAAAACATCCTTCATTAATTCTTACATAGAGACACAAAGGTAGGGAACCCTGGATTCATAATGGCTTGACCTGCGAATCCTTCTTTTACTTTCTTATTGTAAATAAGACACCTTCCCTTCCATTCTCAGTAAGGAAACACAAAAATTCACATTCTAACAAGTTCTATTATAGTTGATGCCACTGCTTTGTAACACTTTTGATCAATGTCAAGACTGGGGAGACTTGATAGACTCAGTTTGCAGTTAGCTGTCACTGAAGAAGAAATTACCAGGGAAACTTTCCCTCCCCTCGTATTTCATGTATATCAAATTGGCAATGAAAATTTTTGAGACAGAAGACTACCTATCAAACTTCTTTGAAAGACTGAAGAATGTCCATAGTTGCCACAGGTTTATTAGGAAAAATGCATCTTTAGACCAAATTTCATTGGATTTATACTTTAGGAATTCTTATATGCTCTAGTCCATCCAGGGAAGGAAACCCAAAAGGACCTCTGACATAGCTTTTTATGTTAAATGTTTAATTTTACATACTTAAGATGTGTACATAAATAAAATATTTGCCTTTATTAATTTATTTTCACAGTCTTAGTATTTATATGTTCTGAAATGGAACTCCAAAACACTACGCCAGTAAGATATGAAGACTCAAATGATGATAGTCTGATTTTAACACATCATCCAAGAACTCAATTCAGGTAATAAGTCAAGTATTACTTGTTCCTTATTTTCCTTATGTTCCTTACTAGAACACTAAAGACATTTCTTGAGTGTACAGTGTGTGTAAGTACCGTGCTGAACATTAACAGATGTGAAGACATGGATTCTGTCCTCATAAAAACAGAACAGAAGAAAGTAATTTTTATCTTTGAAGTATTCACCTACCTGTGTAGTGTTTCACCAATTTCTGCAGAGTATCAAATTGTGCTCTGGTTGTGATATAGTATCCACCATTGTCAAGTTTTCTAATTTTGTAGTGTTTCACATTGTCACCCCTTACCTCATCCCAATCACGAATAGAGAGGGAATAAGCACCTATGAGGAAAAAATGACTACTTTTACTATATCTTTCTCAAAATACTGCCCAAGAAAATTGTTATATTTATATTAACGTAACAATAGTCATACCTTTAGTAGTCTCACTTTCTCTTACTAAGAAAATACCTCGTTGGTTCCCAGGATTCAGAAGTAATCTTTCAGCATCTTTTCTACCCATTTTGCCAAAATACCATCTGGAAAAAACGAAGTATTTTCAGTTGGAAAGGTGTTAAGGGTCAAAAAAACCATACAGAAGTAGCAGCGAATAGAGCTGGGTAGGGAGGATAACGAAGAATTGATTCAGAACGCTAAGTAAAATTGTTAGCTGTTATGGGACACAGATAAAAATACAATAAAACACGATTAAAGATTTTTATTAGATAAGAATATTAAAAAAATGAAAGCGAGGATATACCCTGTCATAGTATTTCCATGTAGTGACTACTCAACATGTTTCTGAACTCCACCTGTCAGCCACAGGAACAGTCAGTGGAGAAGGCAAGACAGCAATGACAGATCTTTTCTGTCATGACAAACGGGAACAGAAAGAGTGTAACCGGAAGAATAGAAGTGGTTCACTGGCAACAATGTGATCATCTGCATTCAGTAAGATGCCAGTATTAAAAAAAAAAACAACCAAAACCAAACCCGCTGCCATTGAATTACTTCTGACTCATGATGACCCCATGTGTACCATACCCAAATTATTAGGAATTCTAAATTAGTTTGGGTTTGATTTAATAAAGTTTTATGAATAAAAATGACAGTCTCTGCTTTTAAGAAGCCCACAGAATAGTGAAGACAAAAGAACAAAACAGAAAGTAGTGCTACGGTAGAAGAGAGCATTTTGGAGGCAAATCACATCATTAATAAAAGCAAACAAATATTGATAGAGCACCTACTATGTACAGAGCACTATTTTAAGTGCTGTGATATGAAAATGAAGTGGTACTTATGGATCCTGGATGAACCTGGTTTGACCTGAAAGTAGAATTTGTCACTGAAGGTGAACTTTTAACTTTTTTTTTTTTTAATAAATTCAAACTTACAGAAAAGATGTAAGAATAGTACATAGAACTCCCATATATGCTTCACCTAGGTCCCCTAATTGTTAACATTTTACTTTGTCATATTCTCTCTCTCTCACTTTCTCTCTATATGTATGTATATATATGCACGTGTGTGTGTGTGTGTGTGTGTGTATCTTTTCTCAACCAATTAAGTTGCAAGTATGTTGAATCGGTGTGTACCTCCTAAAAGACAAGGCCACTCTCCTACATAACCATAGTACAACCACCTAAGTCAACACTGATATAATACTAGTAACTTTAGGTAAAATTTGAAGTGAGAAAATCTGCAGTATGTAATAAGGGTTAGCATAATTTAAAAAAAAAAAAAGGAATAATGAAGGATAAAGACCAGGCACAATGTGTACTATTATTAATGCAGATTCATTATGATTCTACTCTAAGTGGATACTATGCATTCATTATTAATTCTCAAGTAACATCTCCTATTAATATAATACATTAACTGTATTAAGATTAGTATGTAATTGTATGTGTGTAAAGTGTGGCTAAGTACAATGTGCATTAAAACATTTTAAAAATCAAAACAATTAATAAAATATGAAGTAATGTCATACTCTTCTGCCTGAATGGAATCTGCAGGCGCTACATAATTGCTAGGGATATAACCATTCTTTCCTGTAGCAATTGATCTTGCTTCCCACCAGTCTCCTTCCCTGCAACACAAAAAACAACAATTACCACAAGATAAGCTGCTATTTCCCAAGTTACAGTATATTGTAGTGTTGTTTTACATCTGAAGTAGACAAGAGGTATTGCTTCCTTTTTTTATTTATACATTAATTTAATCAAGAATTAGACTCAAAGAATATTCAAAAATAGGTTACATGAATTAAGAGAATAAGACCAAGCAAAGCATTAATTGCATACTTCTCCAAACAACAAAATCACACTTTAACTTTAGTTGTAAGCTCTCTTTTTTATATAACTCTTTCAACCTAAAATAATACACTATACCAAATAAAGCAATTTGGGAGGTAAATCTTTCCAATTACTCAGTTTTTGACTGAATGCTTCCTTTTTTAACAGTTTTACTGATACAACTTGTATGCCATAAAATTTGCCCAGTTAAGGTGTACAATTCAGTGGTTTTTAGTATATTCATAGTGTTGTGTAACCATCCCCATAATCAATTTTAGAACATTTTCATCATCCCAAAAAGAAACTCAGACCCATTAGCGGTCACTTCCCACTCCTCCCCTCCCCCAGCCCTGGCAACCACTAATCTACTTTCTATCTCTGCGGATTTGTCTATCTGGACATTTCATATAAATGAAATCATACAAGATCTGGTCTTTTGTGACTGGCTTCTTTCAATTAGTGTAATTTTTTCAAGGTTCATCTATGTTGTAGCACGTATTGGTACTTCATTCTTTTGTACTGACAAATGCTTTTCTTTTTAACAGTACATAAAATTGTAATGTTTTTTTTAAGCCATTTTAGGAAAAAAACCAGGGTGCCCTAGCGCTCCTATAGTCAAAATATTAACAATGGGTAACAATGCTAAAAAACTGAATTCCTGGAATAATGTATATTTACAAAAACGTTGTCCAAACAAGACTAATTAAATGACAAGCCAGGACATGAGAACTATATGTGATTAATATGTAAGTCCTAACTTTTCAAAATTAATGTGAAAGGAGCAAATATTATCAGTCTCTAATGAGGAAGAGATATTTAGAATCAACTACTAAAGATTAAATGCATGCTTTGCTTTACCAGTGATAAGCATTGAAAACATACTGTCTAAATTGAAATTTCAGCAGCTGGTGGATTCGAACTGCTGACCTTCTGGTTAGCAGCTGAGCGCTTAAACCACTGTGCCACCAGGGCTCTTCTTACAAATACTTGAGGTGAACTTGCTCCCTAGAAAATGGAATGAAAAATTCTTTGGTAATTCAAATATTTATAAACTCATACCCTAGTTTGTAGTCTCCTAGTATGTATTAGGAGCCCTGATGGTGCAGTAGTTAAGAGCTCGGCTGCTAACCAAAAGGTCAGCAGTTCGAATCCACCAGCTGCTCCTTGGAAACCTTATGGTGCAGTTCTACTCTGTCCTATAGGGTCGCTACGAGTCAGAATCGACTCGAAGGCAAAGGGTAGTATATATTAAGCACTTTCAGATACACAAATTGAAAACTTTCCATTTGATCCTGCTAATCAATTAAGGAGCCCTAGGGGCACAATGGTTAAGCACGTGGCTACTGACTGGCTATTTGAACCCACCAGCTGCTCCAAGGGAAAAAAGTCCTGGCAATCTGCTTCTGTAAAGAGTACAGCCTGAGATACCCTATGGGGGCAGTTCTACTCTGTCATATAGGGTCACTATGAGTTGCAATTGATTTGATGGCACACAAAAACCCGTTATTGATTCATTCAAACGCTTCTTACAATACCTATTAAGTGACAGACTTTAGATAGCGTGTGCTGGAAACAGATAAAAAGACAGTCCTTGCCCTCAAGAACTATCTGAAAGCAGGGTTTTTCAACCTCGGCACTACGGACACTTTGGGCTGGATAATTCTTTGCTGTAGGGTGCTGTTCCATATAAGATGTTTAGCTTCATCCCTGGCCTCTGTCCACTAAATGGCAGCCTCCTGGTCTGTGACAACCAAAAATGTCTCCAGCCATTGCCAAATGCCCCTGGGTGATATAGCCTCTAGTTGAGAATTACTGGTCTAAAAGAATGACAAGTGAAAAATTATAACTCAAAATTGTGATAAGAGCTATGGCTGAGGTTTGCACGGGGTCCTGCTCTATGAACATGAAAGACAGACATCCATCAAGCAAGGGGTGGGGGATGGGCCCCAGAGGAGCGGAAGAATGATAGGAAAGGCTTCCTTGAGAAAGGATATATGAACTACTTTTTGAAAGATGAATAAGGTTAGCCAGATAAAGGAAAAAATGGAGTGAGAGATAAGAAGTCACATTCCAGGAAAAAGAACTGGTAAGTGTGAAGGTATGGAGATGATGAGAAACCCCAGTGCAAGCAATTCAGTGTGGCTGGGTAGTGGAGTGAGAAAGGAAAAAAGGCAGACAGTAAATTCTCAGTGAATGACGGCTATTGTCGCTGTTGTTTCTGTTTTATCTTGAAGACAACTGGTAGCTACTGAAGAAATTTAAAGCAGAGAGGCATGATCATATTTTACGTTCTGGAACAGTAACTGGTAGCAGATGGGAACAAGGATGGAAGAAAACATGACTGGAAACAAGCGACAACAGATACATTATTTCAGAAGTTATAAAGTCATTTCTTATGCCTATCAACGAAATTATGGAATCTATTCTCCATAACAAACAACAAATTTTCTATGGTGGGATCCTCAATGACAGAAAGTCCAAGGGTCACATAAGGAAAAAGCAACTTAATGTGGTCAGTTTTAGAGTACAGGAGTGTCTTACTCAGCCTTTTTCCCTTTTTTTTTTTTTTTTTTAACAGAAACAGATAAGATCTTCAATCATCTGTACTTAGATAAAAAGGAACATAAAATTATCTTTATAAAGATTTTTTAAAAAAGTAATGTACTTACTTGCATATAACCCCTCAATAACCTTGATTCTTAAATCTCTACTGTTTGTGGCAGAACCACAGCAGTACAACTTGTGAAAATAATAACTTCTGGCTGCAGCAGTAGTATTATGCCACACATCTGAAGAAACCAAATGCATCGTCTGACCCAGTGAGCAAGAACAATCAACCAGCTCCACGGTTTCAGTGTAAAGACCAGGTTTTGTCAGTATTTCTCCCTCACAGAATACCCAGAACACTTACGTATTGTTAATTATTTGAAATCTTTCACCCTTCTTAAATGAAAGGTCTTCTGTAGTTCTAGCTTCATAATCATACAAGGCCACAAATATAGTAACACCACCTATTGGAGGAAAAGAAACAGCCAAGGTAAATTGGTAACAGACAAGGCAACAAAGAAGAAACAGAACACTATTGTCAGGAAAAAAACCCAAAACTTAAGGATAGTCTTCCTCCTAGTCTCCAGAATCTATTTTGTAGAAGCTGGGGCTTTGGGCAGCTGAAGTTTTCAAGTTTATAGGGTGTTCTTTTGACACATTCCATGAAACTACTTGTGCTCCACAAATTCCAAAATTCTGTAGATCCACAGAAACAAATTTAATTTTGATTCAGAGTAGCAACATCTCTGGCTTGAAAAGACAGTCGAATTTCAAATCTATTCTTTGACAGAAAAAGCACTGAAGGAGTACTATAAACAATTGGCACTGACCTTCCCAATTTCTTATAAACAATGAATGGGTGAACATTGTGTTCATAAGACTAATCATTAACAGCAATAATTGAGTTTTTCAAGATGATTTATTACATGTTTAACACAATAAAAATGCCATGTTTTTCACAGCTACCAAGGCCTCCACCAGACTTGAGTCCAGTACAGCTAGATGGTGCCCAGCTACCACTACTAACTGCTCTGACCAGCATCACAACAGAGGGTTCTGGACAGAGCTGGAGAAGGATGCAGAAAAAAATTCTAACTCACACAAAAAAAACCAAATTTACTGGTCTAAAGGAGACTAGAGAAACCCCGAGAATATGGCCCCCAGACACCCTTTTAGCTCAGTGGTGAAGTCACTTCCGAGGTTCACCATTCAGCCGGGGAGTGGACAGCCCCATAAAACCAAATGGGACTAATGAGG